CCGCTGGGAAGGTCGGGGCTCGTGCTGTAGCGTATGACCGGCGTCCGGCGTTAGGATTAAGTCAGCGGCTCTCTGTGCGAGTACCGAGAGTATTGAGCAGAGCGGAGGGGCGAAGCCCCGGAGAGTATTTGTAACTGTTTCACTGCTGTAATTTATCACATTTGCTTCATTACATTCTTTTCCAATATAATTGTTTTTATTATTACATATATATATCAGAGAGGTGGGAAAAATAATAATACAAGGCAGTATGGTGAACAAAAAAAACTAACTAGAAGAACAAGGCTAGTAATACTACCAACTAGGTTATTCCAGACAAGATAGTATTACCAAACATTATATATATATATATATATATGTACAATGGTGCCAGAGGCGGCAACGCGGGTATCTCTGACGAGATTGAGATCGCGGTGTTATCGCGGCGCGGGTCCGGCGGTTCATGCTTTCGCGGCCGTGAGGCGTGTTGCGACGTCCGAGAATACTCGGTGAAGGCAGAGAAATCTCTACCCTCGGTCCAACGTCTTTGCAACAGTGGTCCTGGGCCTATATAGGCGACCGGAGTCGCGAGAGGCGACGGAGGCGCGAGTCGGCGGTCGAGAAACCTCGACAAGGGGGAAGACCCTCCTCCTTAGTGAACTCGCCGGTCGTGCGTCTATCTTGGAAGTCGGTCTGCGGCTAGCTGAGAATACTCGGCAGTGACCCAGAACTCTGGACCGCTGTACTGGTGCTGCAGGTCGAGCGAGAAGCGAAATCGGATTCGGAATCGTAGGTAGCGGATTTTACCAAAGAAGGCTTAGAGCGTTTTTGGCCACGATGTTAGTACTCGCGCGGTTTATATACTTGCTTGTTGCTCCTGCTCGTATTGTTCCGGAGTCGTTCGGCGATCTCCGTTGGTTGAACAATGCGAGCGGGGGCCGTTTGGTTCGGCGTGTCTCGTAGCGTTCGGCGTTTCTCGGCGAGACGGCTGCGACCTGTGAATTGCTTTCTCGTTTAAAAGATCTCGGGCGCACCGCGCCCTCCTCGCTTGCGAGTGACCAGAGGTCCCTCAGCGGCGGCATCCGACGGGATGTTCTGCCGGGTATAATGCACTTATGGGGTGCATTGTTACACTGTAATGAGCAACCCTATGACACATACCATAGATAAATTTGTAAAATTTGTTAGAAATATCATTAATAAAAGGAATAGTGAATCATCTGATATATTGTTTTTTAGCTATATTGATAGAAGTCTTACACATACAATTGGATTTTTTAATTAATGTTTTAATCCTATCATTCAAAGTTTCAAAAATAAATTTCAATGGATAGTCATTTTCTAATAAGATATTAATTATAAAATTTAATTTCTTTTGTGGAATTCTGGATGTGAGAGATAAAACACTCTGTCAATCAAATTCAAAATTATGCTCTTCTTTTGTGAAATCGGATGCTGGGACCAATAATTCAAGAATCTTCCCGAGAAAGTGGGTTTTTTATACCAGTCAAAAATTAGTTCGAAATTCTTTAAAATAATAGTAGTGTCCAAAAAATTAATGGTATTAACCCCTCACCTCCATCGTAAACTGAAGTCGCGGGTGGAACGAATTAAATTTATCCAAAATGCCCTTCACCTCAGCTGTAGGTAAACATAGTACTATGTCATCCACATACCTAGTAGAAAAGCAATAGGAATTCAATGGTACTCAGTACTCGATTTTCCAAATATTGCATGACTAAGTCAGCAATAATAGATGACGAACCCATCGGAGTACCAAAGGTCTGTTTATAGATTTGACTATCGCAATATTATATCCGGCGCTAACTCCTAACGCCCAGTTAGACATTTTGTTATTATCAAAGAAATTCAATCATTAAAATGGATTAAAAACCTGTATTCTCTATTCAAAATATTAAATTGAAGTAAAATTAATATAATACAATAATAATCAAATAAATAAACATTTAAGTATATTTATTAATTATTTGTCAATGCGAGTATCTTAATTTCTAAAGCGCCGATTTCTAAAGCGCAGCCTATCTACTTTTCTCCAGGGAAAAGTAGGTAGCGCTTCAGAAATTGGGTCGAAATGTGCAACTAATTCCGAGCACTGGTCTAAACAAACAAAGCGACACCAAACATTTCTCCGAACTTATCTCTCTATCTTGGATCGTTTATTTCCCACTATCTCACAATGTACTAATCTACAACAAGACAATTAGATATGTTCAGGGTGCTTCCGATACCTACACATCAGTAAGTTGGGTTGCCTTTCGGCAGGGGCATGCTCATCCGTAGGGATCTGCTTATCGACATGGTAATGCAGAATAAGATTAGATCTAAAAACGAAGCAGGATATCCATTCTGTTGGAATATCATTTCCAATCTATTCGCGAGTACCACATTTTCAAAAAGTTTATTGAAATGATGGAGAAGAAATTCTGAATAATAAACGTGCATCCATATTTTCTTGAATAAATTCCAGGTCGATAATGTGATAAGTTTCCAGCCACGTATTCATAGTCCATAAATGTTTTTTATGCAGCGTGGACTGTGCTGTACATAATAATGTAATATGTCAGGTTATGCATTTATTTTTTTCTACAAATTGTTTCGTCAGACCAGATTATTTTTCAAAAATAAATAAATTTCCGGAATCACTGAAATCCATCTATATAGATGGATATAAACTAAGTAATTTAATATAAAATTATTGACACAAGAATTAAGATAACTGACAATAAATTCTGATATATTGCAATAAAAAATTAGAAAACAAACTTACGTGTTCAATAGACTATTCACAAAAATTTAAACGTCATGACGATATCGCCAGGTATAAGTTTTTATGTGTCATGCTATTTAAATGAATGCCAACTCATAAAATATTGTAAATATGCAGAATTGTTTTATACTTATGTTAAAAAAAAATAGTAGTTACATGTTAAACATTTATTATATAAGCATTTCAAGACAAAAATATTTTTTGTTCAAATATGTTTATTAAATTGTAGGTTAGATTAGGTCAGGTATTATTATTCGATTAGTAAATATATATTTTATATCATATTATTGAATTTTACACTATATCAGAATGTAAAATTTAATTCATCTTGTCTTATTCCCTGCCGAACTTGTGATCTAATCTTATTCTGCATTATCATGCCGATAAGCAGATCCCTGCGGGTGAGCCCCTGCCGATAGGCAACCCGACTTACTGATGTGTAGGAAGCACCCTGTACATCTTGACTGTTACTCTGTACTGTACAACAAACAAGGAAGGTTACATCAGTTTTAATATTCACAGTAAATCGTTAACAAAAAAATCACGGATAATCAGATTACATACCATGTAATACAATCACTTTACACCAGCAATTCAGATCACATAATATTAAAAAAAATTATATTAAACTTATAATAATAACAACATATACGATTACAGTATAGCTGCACAATATCATTTTGATATTTCGCATTGTACTTGGTCTAGAAACAACTTCCTCTCTCAATTTGAATTTGAACTAAAAAATATCAACATATGAGACACATAATTGATGGTCAAACAGGTACACAAGCAAAGATACAATAATGTAATATTACTGGACACAATCAACGACAATATTTAATGTAAGTAGTAGGATGCGTTTTTTTATATATAATTTTTATTCCTTGAGACGGACCACATTAAGGGTTGAAACGTTGGAAACATTGTATTACACTAATGTAACATTTAAGAATAATATATGTATATAAGACACGGCACATGATTACTAGCTGGGCTCGAAAAGCTCAAATTTAACTTTTGAATTTCATTCTATGGAGCCATATAATATAATATTCTTATAGTATTAATACTTATTTCAAACGAAAGCTACAATAACAATCTCTCTGTAAAAGATGTAAATGTCAAACCTTCATCCTGCTGTATTGCAGACTCAGTTCATCATTTCTTCGGACCAACTGTGTACCGAGTATGTCGCGCTCATTCATAACGTTATCAATATTTTTCTTCTGACGTACGATATCTGAATCTGCCTGATGTATGGTCTGTCTGAGACTCTTTTCCTCCTTCTTTACTTCTTCGATTTCTTGTCGTAAGTTGCTTATTTCCATACGGGAAGCTCGCAAATCGATCTTAAGTTCCTCTTTCTCTTTCTCAACTTTCCTTAACACTGCAAAATAAATGATTTTCGAAACTTATAATTTTTGATTTGTTACTATAATTTTTTTTAGGGTAAATGTTCACTGTAAGGAAGATCACTCTGATGACCTTGACATACGTTGTCAAGGTCATGACTCTGAGTAACTTCCAATAAGTTTTAGCTGTCGCTCATTATCCGTTAAATAGTTAATAACAAAACATATCTGAAAAAATACCGTCTTATTTCTGGTATATGTATATTATTAAAAACTATTCTATATCCTTTCTTATTTACCTAATGTTAACCCACGCGAAGTGAGTTCTATCCCATCTCCCTTCTTGCCAAGGAACGCACGATTTTCTACGCGAAGCGAGTTTTACCTCACATCTCCCCCTGTTTTAGATGGGATGAAAATCGTTTCCCGTGGAAATCGTACGCCTTGAAGCAGGAAGAGGTAGAGTGAAAGCCGCTTTACGTAGAAAGTTGTGTCTCTATGCGTTACTATATACAAACAAAAATTATATAGGAAAATAACGTTTTAAAAAAAATTTTTATTTTTAAAGCTGCAAATCTATATTAAAGCAGAAAATTTTTGTTCTGCATAGTAAAAAGGGACATCATTAGTAGTACTAACTTAGTGTAACTAGAGAGATTCGAAACCTGGTCCTCTGAGGGTGGCGCGAGGCGCGGGGGATACTCTTTGGCACGGAAGGGAAGGTGCTAGAGATACTAGCCGTAGACGCGGGGGAAGGGAGGGGAAAGGCGCACGGTAGATTCCAGTGGTATTGGTGTTTACATAAACACTAAGTGAAAATATTAAGAAAGTAAAGAACATTGTTAAAAGTCCTTGAATTGAAAACAGTAAAGATAATCGCATGAGAATAGTTACAAGAACCAAACATTACATAAAAATCAAAATTTATTAATTATGCTCGTATATGCATGGTACAAGAACTCAGTATCTGTATGACTGTCTATTAATGATTTCATTCTTGATACAGTTCGCATTTAGTTAATTAGCTAACTGACGGTTACATACTCTCCAGACGTGGCAATCTGAGAGACTTACTTACTGCATCCCATGGCTTCATTATTGCGAACTGATTAATTTATTCTTATAATGGAGACTGCTGAAGATGGCTTGAAGATAGCCGAAACGTTCAGATTTGTATACTACGTATGGAATATTAACTAGAAATATATTTATACTTTTGATTCACGCACTAATTACTGCGTTTAAGGCTCTTAATTGATCTTTTTTAGTCGTTCTTTATTTGATTATATTTCAAGAGCCCAATTAGAATCTTTTTATTTGTTAAAGAAAGTACATATATTGTGATGTGAACCAAATATATTTTATTCATATTTTATTACATCATTTTTTTCGTACGTATTAAAAATTAAAGCTAATAACTTGCAATCAACGAACTGTTGCTTGTTGAAGATGTCGCTATCGCGTTCTCGGACTCGATATTGGAGAATCGCATATACTACCAATATATGCATGGGCATCGGCTATGATCGGCAGCATTCGAATCGGTGGCTTGGAAATCGCTAACTGCGCTTTCTGAAAATAAGAGAACAAAGAACTTTTTGATCACCATTCGCTTCTTCAGCAAAGAATAAAATGCATTAGCACTAGTCACTCTAAACGCGTTCGTAAACAAAAAAGATGTATACTTTATTGCTTTTATTTTGATGGCATTGACTTTAATGCTTTTTCCCCCGAACATTCCCAATATCTCGTTTTTTCCTTCGTCGGTGGACTTGGTAGACTTGTTGACAAGGGACGGTACCCTTTTCGCTCGATCGATTTTCGACGTATATATTCTTTTACTCGGTCCATGTCTTAACGCTCGTAACTGAAGCTTACGATTGAACGAAAAAATAGCTTTATACACTGTCAGATCGGTGACCCACGCTATGTCATGTACTTACTATTTCTCTTCCTCTTATGCATCGCCATCTTTCCCACCGCGTTGTAGCTTCCGTTGTATCTTCTTCTCACACGCAAAAATATTTTATCATACTTTTTTTTTATTTAATGATTTAAAGAGAGCGAACGTTTAATACGTGCGTGACAGTACAATCGAGCGTGATGATGCTGTCGGTACGCGATGATACTGTCTGCACGCGTAACGTGATAACGCTGAGATAATAAGAAAAGGAAGGAAGGAAGGAAGGAAGGAATGAATGAATAATGCCATACACGCAGAGTTTAAATATGTGTTTATTTTTATTTAACGTAGTTTTAGAATATATATAAAATTCTTACAATATGCATAAGCAGGAACTTTAATTTAATTTAGCTAAGTTTAAATCGAATTTTAAGCTGCCTCCGATTAACAATAAAATGTACATTTACTTTTCACACTGTTTACAATATTATCTAAAGCATAAACTATCACTTGCTCTATATTTGAATTTTTATTATAAATTTTGCTCAAAAAATCTACGGCATCACACTTATCGATGATACAATTTTTACAAAAAAGTTACAAAATATTTAAATTTTTTATTGACAATATGTGTATACTGGCACAGCTCAGAGTGTACGTTTTCGGCGCAATGTTCATGTTCGAACATGAAGAACACTGTTGACGGCTTCATATAAACATGTATCGCGCAATGTTAGTTTGATCACATTCATGACGCATTTTTACGATTTCTATTACAATATCTTGGACCAATAATGATGATGAAGGTCCGATTGACTGTATGAATCGCTCAATATCCACACGTCTTCCGATGAAAGCCACATTGCATGAAACAAGATTATGATGTTACCTCGGTTGTCTTCAAATGCAATTTCCACAAAGGACGTCCCACAGCGATTCCAACATCCAGGTATTTAAGTAATAATACATATTTAAGGGGGTTAATTTGGAGTCAGCGCGGTAAGAGGTGCGCACTTAATATTTAAACAAACATTAATAATATAATGTGTATTACGATGTTAGGTTTAACATTTCGGCTATCGGTTTTAGCCATCTTCAGCCAATACAAAATTAATACTAACGGAGAAAATCTTCTTGTCATTGACAACACAAAATGTTATCGAACCTCCTACTAGTCGGAAAGTGAGAAAAGCACAAACATCGCACAAAGAAGTTCCCAGTCTTCTTGGTTAACAAGCGTTTGGGTCTAATAAAGTAAATTAAGAATTATTATATAAAAAACTTGATATTGTACAAAGGATGTGCTTATCTCAAATTCAAGTAACGCCGTATTAAAGTAAAATACGATCTTGAGAAGAAGAAAAAATTCGAAAAACGTTATTAAAATATATATATACAACTTAGGCAAATAAGAGCTAATACACAGTTATTATTTGTATGTGGATATATAAAATTCTTTACTTCCTTAATTCATCTACATTGTGAACAGAAATTCGATGTTTCGGTTGCTCTTTTCAACCATCTTCAGGCTAACAACTCTTCAGATCCGTAATTAATATAAACATATGTATCAGATAAACTACAGAATGCAAGCAGAACTTCCAAAAACCTCGAGTGGTTCTTCATTAGACAGTGAGAACAGTTCTTCGTACTCAATCTCAAAATTGTTGCAAACGGCCTTCAGAAATGATGCTCCCATTCTATTCTATAATTTATCTCCTTTAAAATTATGTATCTTTAAAAATCTTAAAAAAATCGTTCATTATGTGCTCACGTCGGCGTCAGAAACACAATTAACAATACATAAAAGTTATAGGTCAATTTGCCGTCCGAAAAACAATAAATAAATCGAAAAGAGTCAATCCAGTAAACATCGCCACGCACATATACACTCAAAAAACATTACTATTAACTAAATTGGCTGAGCATTGAAGTATATCCGTATCAGTTTGTAGATTAAGTGCGTTCGTTGTAATTTAATATGAATCATTTCAGATATCAGTCTTCTTCCCAAAATTCTTTCTTTATCTAATATTTTCACATTCATCCAATCAATCTTATGATTGTGACATACCGCATGTTCAGCAACAACCGATTTACAAGAATTAATGTTGCATAATTGATTTTTGTGTTCAGCAATTCTGGTATTAAGCTTACGTTTTGTCTGCCCCACATACGTCATATCACAATCCTTACAATTCAATCTATATACCACATTTTTGTTATTCAAAATCAGAAGGACATCCTTTTGAGCTCTAATGATCCCACTCAACTTATTTAAACCAAAAAAGTTCAAGTTAATATCAGAATCCTTCACAATATTAAAAAATTTGTCCGATATGTTAGTTATATATGGTATTGTTTTTCTTCCTGTTCAGTTGGCGTGCTAATAGTTTTTCATTTTATCGATTTATTATTGAACAGTTTTTTTAATCTAATATTGATAGTTTCAAAAATAAAGTTTAAGGGATTGTCATTGCTCAAGAAAATGTCTATAATGAATAAATGATTTTTCTGATGGTATTTGGCATGTGATAGTAATATCGCTCTACCTACCATGTTCATAATGACTCCTTTTTTCTGAACCAAAGGGCTGTCTGATAAAAAGTTCAAAAACTTCCCAGAAAATGTAGGCTTTCTATACCAGTCGAATTTTAAAATCCCATTATTATTAATAAATGTCAAATCTAAAAAGTTTAATCTGTTCCCCCCTATTTCTACTGGAAATTGCAGTCTGTCGTGAAAAGAATTAAAAACTTCCAATATATCATAAATAATGTGGTTGGGCACTGCCATAACTATGTCATCAACATATCTATAATAAACAAGTAAATCTAATCCCAATATATCTAGAGCCCTTCGTTCTAAATCTTGTAGAACTATATCTGCAATTATGGGGGATAACCGAGAACCTATAGGAATACCGAAACATTGTCTATAAATTTTCTGTTCAAACATAAAATAAATTGATTCAAGAATCATTTTAGTTGCTAACATGAATTCATTTTTTAGAATATAACACTTGTTCTTACCATGGTAATGTGTTCCCATCTATTGTCAACACTATCCAGAGCCATATCAATGGGAATGTTCGTGAACAATGATACAGCAGCCAAAGATATCAAGATCCAAAGATGTCATATCCCGTCCAAAAACCAATCTAATTTTTCGACTATTTTAAAACTGTTTTCCATATGGCTGAACGTCTTAGGAATGTTATTATATAAAATTTCATGTAAATATGTTGCAAAAGCATGTAAGGTACTATCCACAGAAGAAACAATTGTTCTAAGTGGATGTTCTGGCTTGTGTATTTTCGGTAACCCATAGGTCCTCGGCATCACCCCATCACTACAATAAACCCTTTTGTAAACCTCTTTGTCACTTTTTTCGAAAAACATGTTGTATAGAGACTTACAGACGAAATGTAGCGATGCTCTTAACTGTTTCACGTCTCAGAATGTAATAAAATAAAATAGATACTGAAAGGGCATGAGAGACAATGTTGTCATTGTGTAAGCTGAATCTAAATTATTCACAAGTAACAAAGTAAAACGTGAATCCAATAAAAACAACAATTTTTGTTTGAAAGGCATATACCACGAACGCAAGATGACGGTAGCGATTATTTAAATTTTATTTATATTTAATACAAAATATTCATAATAAACGTTTCGGTCTTTAATCAGACTATCTTCAGTATCAATAATTTTTTAACAAACTTCAATTAGCGACTTTATCACTTAACACAATATGTTTTAATATTTCATTTTAAGATCGTTAAAACTTCTAACATTAAAATTGTTCCATTACATTATCATTATAGAACAATCATTTCTACAAAATTCATCCAAAAAACCGGTAGTCATACAATATTCTATTTAATGATCTGTTGAATCAATATAGTTGTTCATGTAGTCACATCACAGTATTTAGTTGTATTGCACGGAGTTGAATAATTCTAATAATTTTAACATAATAATTGGTCATATAACTTTAATAAAAATGAGCGATAACAAAAAATATACTATCATACCTGTGCAATTGTGTCAATTCACATAATCAGTCAATTTTTTTCCAAATTACCTCGTAAATTTTATCTTGAGAATCAATAATAGAACACAAAGTTTCACGGTTCTAGTGTAAAGCCAATATAAATTAATGTAAGAAAAAACAATAAATAAAAAATTTTTAGACACCATTAAAAGTACCTGTGTTCAATTATTTCACAATTCCAATTAATATCATTGAAGCTTGGATAACATATTGTACAATACAACTTGAGAGCACGTAATAACCCTTATGGAAAGAGACACTGAAAATTTCGAAAAAAAACTGAAAATAAAGTCCTAATACTCAACTTTGAGTATTAACACCTGAAAATTAGGTGTTAACACTCAAAGTTGAGTGTTAACACTTAATTTTTCGAAATTTTCAGTGTCTCTTTCCGTAAGAGAACCTCTTAACTTAATTTTCTCGAATTATATACATCACTCTCGTACAAAGTGGAGAGGGAACTTGCTATATGTGAGAAGAAACTTTCAACAAGGGAAAATAAAACGAGAATCTTTTAATTTATTTATATCAGACTTATGTTCTTTTATTCGAGTGCCTAACTTCTTTTTTATCTGACCTACATATGATGAATCACAATTCAAACAATTTATCTTATGCACTACTTCAGACTGTTCCATTTTATCTAGTTTATCTTTACCTAATTTTATCACTGAGTTCAAAGTATTAATCGGTATACATGGAACTTTATAATTATTCTTATCTGCAATACTTTTAAATTTCTCCGAAATGTTATGTATATACGGTATTGCAAAATATTTTTTTATTAAATTATTATAATATTATCCAAATCTTTATTGTCAATCAACTCGTTGTTATATAAATTATTTCTTCTCGAAAATATTTTAATTCTATAATTAATAGTTGATAAAATTTTGTTCAGCGGATAACCATTCAAGAGTAAAACGTTAATTAAGTTTTCAATGTTCCTATTATGATACTCAGGATGTGATAAGAAAAAAATTCTATCCAAATGTCCTATTGTTACACCTCTCTTATGTTCTTCTGGGTGATACGATTTATAACTCAGATAACGTCCCGAATTCGTCGGTTTCTTGTAGTTATCAAATTTTATCTGTCCTTCCTTCAAAATGACAGTTTCGTCCAGAAAATTTACAGAACCATCATCCCTCTCTTCCACAGTACACTTTAATCTATCATGATATGAGTTAAATAAACTTAAAACTTCCTCAACCTGGTTGTTAGGTATTGCAACTAAAATGTCATCCACATATCGATAATACACAGGAACTATAATACAATATTCAAACCAGTAAGAATATCACTTTCCAAATCTTGAATTACGAGATCAGCTAATATCGGTGACAATGGAGATCCCATCGGCATGCCAAAAATTGGTTTAAAATAATGATTGTAAAATTTGAAATATGTAGAATTTTACACTAAGTATAAGCATATTCAGGCCTATGACGGTCAAAGCTAGATCTTTTTTGCCTAAATAATTCCCAGTGAATTATCTATATCCTATATATGTACATGCATATATATACAGGATGTCCCATATTAAATGATCCAGCCAAATATCTCAAAACTAAACCCAGTAGACAAAAATGTCTCAGACAAAAGTTGTTTGACTCGAAGGGGGATATAAGATGGTGCCATCGAATTGACCTTGGATAGTCCTCTGAAGGTCACGTGAAGATCACTTTTAATTTTTTAAATAGAACCCCTTATTTCTCATTGCACATTCTTACAGATAATCTCGAGAACTTTCCAAAACACTATAATTAAGTTACTTTTCGTTAAGTACTAGTTAAGTTATAAAGCAAGATCGGGTCTGATCCGGCCGACTAAAGCAAGATCGGGGCTGATCCGGCAGACTAAAGCAAGATCGGGGCTGATGCGTTCGATTAAACCAAGATCGAGACTAATGCGGCCGACTAAAGCAAGATCGGGGCTGATCCGGCCGACTAAAGCAAGATCGGGACTGATCCGGTCGATTCATATCAGAATCTAGTTATCATGTGAAATGATTATGATCTTAATAAGTGTTCGAATATCTGTCCATTATTATCCACACATAATTGAATTCGACGTTCAAAACTGTCAACTGTCGATAAAAGTATATTTCTTG